ATACTTTCTCCTGCCTTGCTGTTGGCTAGTTCTTTATTAGACTATCAGGTGTTTTACACAGGCACAATAACACAGCTTCACAGAGTTAAACAAATGAAATAGGAACAAAAGTAACACACCTTAAAATATTCTACTACACACTCATATATAATAAATAAATAAATCTTTAAAAAAAGATATAGATTGGCTAATTAGATTGAAAAACAACTTTCAACTGTTTGTTCTTGTAAGAAACACACCACACACACACACACACACACACACACACACACAGGCTGAAGGAATGGAAAATAATACTCCAAGCAATTGGAATCTGGAAGGAAGCAAAATGAACTGTGTTCATATTTAATAAAGCAGATTTCAAGGCAAAATTAGAAGAAACAAGACCACTTCATCGTACTACAGGGAAATCATCAGGAGGATATAATGAGTGAAAATATGTATGCACCAAATGTTGATGTAACCAATTTTATAAAACAAAACAAACAGAAAACTAGAACATCACAATCAAGCAAAAATTATTGGACATAAAGAGACATGGAGGCCCCAGTATAGTTATAGTGAGTGACTTTAATACCCTATTCTTACCAATATGTTGGTGGCCCAGAAACACCCCATGGGGAGGTGAATCACTGAAGGAACTGCAGAGATGAACTATATGATAGATTATAGATTATTATAAATTATAGATGATAAATGAATGGCGCTAACAGACTCTATGAAGCTTCATCCAAAAACTGCAACATACACATTTTTTCACATATTTTATGGAAATTTCCTCAAAAATATATCTCTGAAATAGTTATTTTTAGGCCACAAAGCAAGTCTTAAGAAATTTAAGGGGGCTGGAGAGATGGCTCAGAGGTTAAGAGCACTGGCTGCTCTTCCAGAGGTCCTGAGTTCAATTCCCAGCAACCACATGGTGGCTCACAACCACCTGTAATGAGATCTGGTGCCCTCTTCTGGCCTGCAGTCATACATGCTGTATACATAATAAATAAATAGTCTTAAAAAGAAAAGAAAGAAAGAAATTTAAAACATTTGAAATAATTCCTGGCACCTTATCAGATCATAAAGAAATGAAGTTAGGAATCAACAGCAATCTGTACTACAGAAACCACATAAACACACGTGTAGATAGCAATACCTTTCTGGAGAGTGAGCAGGTCATTGAAGACATAAGGAGAAAAATGTAAAAGCTACTAGATTAAAATTTAAAATGTAGACACATTCTACCAGAGCGTGTGAGATGCAGCAAAGGCAGTTCTGAGAAATGTACAGCTTGAGAGCCTACATTAAAAAGACAGAGTTCTCAGATAGCTTGATGATGCATCTCAGGGTCTTAGAAAAACAAGAACAACCCCAAACCAGTAGAATGAAAGGAGGAATACAGATCCAGAGTTGAACTCAGTGCAGTGGAGGCCAGGAGTACAATACAAAGAACCAGTAAGACAGGGAGCTGGTTCTGCGAGTGGGCTAACAAGACTGACAAACCCTTAGACAAGCTAGCCAAAAGAAAGAGAGAAGATATAAACTGATAGAGGTGAAAAGCAAGATATTATAGTACAGCAGAAATCCAACAGGTTTGCCAGGAATTTTTCAATAAACTTAAAATAGAACTACTACAGTATCTACCTTCCATGATCGGCACAGCTCTGGGATGATTGACCTTACTGGGGTAACAGTGAATGAAGAAACTACAGACAGGACTGGGATGGGGTGGGCTATGTGAGACAAATCAGCAGCTACTGGTATTTACAGCTGAATGGGTAGATTAGCTGATCTCAGTAGGAGGTCTCTGCAGGGAAGTGGTCTCAGGCTTCAGTCATCCAGGATGAAGAAGCATTCTGCGGCACACATGGTCAGCATCCAGACAGGGATCTGGGGAAGGCCTTGCCATTCCCATAGGTCGGAGGTATTAGGGTCCTTGACATGGCTGTGCTCATGTCATGAATGCTCACTCATACAGGGATGCATTTGCTCCCCCTATTCACCCATACCTGGCGTATAACTGAAGGAATCAAAGCCATCATACACTAAAGATACCTGCAATGCTCTGCTGATTATGGCACTATGCATTCAGCCAGGTTACTGAATCAGCCTGGGAGCCTAGCAGTGGCTGAATGAATAAAGGAAATGTGGCCCATTGGAATGTTAGCCAGATGTACAGAAGATGAAATGATGTCATTTGCAGGAAATGGATGAATAAAGACCATCATATTAAGCCTGGGTCAGGTGATTCCAAGTTCTTGGCCTCTTATCCAAGAATGGAACATAAGAGCTCAGACATATTTTCAAAAGTGAGATGACGTTCTTCAGAGCAAAGCAGCAGTGTAAGCTGTAGGAGTAAACTCTGTCAAGACTGACATGGTACAACATGAGTGACAAAGGCCCTGACTGTTGTTCTGAGCTTCCTTTTAAGGAGTTGGTTACTGAAGGGCTTTTCTTGATGGTTATCTATTTTGATTGGTAGATTATGTAATGACTTCTCCATTGGGCATGTCCTTCCTCACAATGCGTCTGATTTTAATCATATACACACCCAATTATGCATAAGCATAAGATGGTAAATAGTGGATCCTTCCTGTAAAGTTACTAGAAGACAGTTTTTGCCTTACTATGCATGCACCCAAAACTAGTTCAGGTCTGACTGGCCTTTCTGTCTTCATACCAGATACATTGGGAATACACCTGAACAAAACTGTCCAAATTTGAAAACTTCTGAGGTGGGAGTATGTGTGGGGGTTGGGGGTGGGGTGGCTTCTGAAGTCACTAGATGCATTGTTTGGAGAGGGTGTGTGTGTGTAGTTATATGCAAGGGAAGGAAGTCAGTTACTGTCTTATTACAAGAGGATGTATGTGTATAACCCCAAAGCAAATGGGGATCCTAGGGCATCAATCTATTTCCTCTGCTTGCCTGCCTTGGTAGAGATTGTGTTTATGAGAAACATCAGAAAAAGCATTTGGTTTGGGCCAGTAAAACAGCTTAGCAGATAAAGGTGCCTAATAACCTAAATTTGATACCAGAGATCCACAAAATGGAAGGAAAGAACCAATTCCCACAGATATTTCTCTGACCTCCACATGTGTGGTGTGGAATGTGCAGGGTGTTTTTTTTTGTTTGTTTGTTTTGTTTTTTATTTTTGAGATAGGATCTCTCTAAATAGACCTAGTTGGCCTTGAACTCACAGAGACCCACCTGTCTCTGCTTCCCAAGTGCAGGGATTAAAGGTGTATGTCACCATGCCTGGCTAGTGTTTTGTTTTTTATTATACCAATACATTCTTGAAGTTGTAGATATTTGCAAATTTGGATTATTATTTTTCAGTTTGTATTTTTAAATTTATTTCTCTTTCTTTATTAAAAAAAAAAAAAAAAAAGCTTTTTGGAGACAGTCTTATACCACCCACGCTGGCTTCAAGCCAGCCAAGGATGACCCTAAGGTTCCCATTCTCCTACCTCTCCACTCCTGGGATTACAGTTTACATTGTGTGGACAGTCTCTCTCTCTCTCTCTCTCTCTCTCTCTCTCTCTCTCTCTCTCTCTTTTCCTGGCTGTCCTAGAGCTCGCTATATAGACCAATCTGGCTTTGAATTTCCCAGCTTGCCTCTGCCTCCCAAGTGCTAGGATTAAAGCTTTTCACCACAATACCAGGTTCTCAAATGTGGACTTTCAAACAAACTTTTATCATAAAAAATGTCAAACATAGATTTAGAGATTAGAGATTAGTGTAATGGGTCTTCATGTATTTAGTGTGTGGATGTTCTAGAAAAATCCAGTTTTTTTTTTTTTTGGTTTTTCGAGACAGGGTTTCTCTGTGTAGCTTTGCGCCTTTCCTGGTACTCGCTTTGGAGACCAGGCTGGCCTCGAACTCACAGAAACCCGCCTGCCTCTGCCTCCCGAGTGTTGGGATTAAAGGCGTGCGCCACCACCGCCCGGCGAAAAATCCAGTTTTAAGAACATTTTAGCAGGATAAAATGCCTCAAGGAGGCCGTTCCAGTATGAGATGTTCGGAAGTCCATCTGAGCATCCCTGTCTTCCCTCCGCCACCGGAAGAAAGCAGCCTTAAGTCTCTGCCTCACTTCCTGGGCTGTTGAAAGGGAGCAGGAGGCTGGCTGGAAGCTGAAAGTTATCCGGTTCGCTCTGTATATAAAAAGGAAATTCTTAGAATGGAGTCTGGATTGTGATTCTAAGAGTCTTTTTTTTTTTTTTTTTGAGCCAGACTCTCACTATGTTGATCCAGCTGTCCAGAAACTCCCTATGTGGACCATGTGGACCAGGCTGGCCTCAAACTCACAGAGATTGGCTTATCTCTCCTTCCCGGGTGCTGGAATTAAAGGTGTGTGCCAACATGCCTGGAGAACTGAACGTCTTTGAGGAGTTTGGAAACTGTCAGTGACTTCATGCTTCATTTAAGGTCATTTTCATGGTTGTCACTCAGAGAGTGGTCTCCTTTGGCCTTCGCCTCTTTGGCCACATCCTATGACATCAAAAGCACTTATGAGGTTCCAAGGATATCAAAATACTGGGAGTGGTAGTATCTTCCTCTTATCCCAGCTCTGGGGAGGCAGAGGCAGGAAGATCGGAAGTTCAAGGCCATCCTTGCAGAGTTCTCTTTAGCCTAAGTTGAGACCCTGTCTCAAAATGCCAACCAAATGAAAACATTCATTTAAATGCTTAAAACATAGCAAACTTTATTCTTAAAACTCTCTAGCTTTCAAATCCCAAGACTATGCTGGGCATGTTGGCACACAGCTTTAATCCTAGCATTTCAAGGCAGAGGCAGCCATATCTCTGTGAGTTCAAGGCCAGCCTGGTCTACATAGTGAGTTCCAACCTAGTCAAGTGCTGTATAGTGAGACTTTCAATAAGCAAAATAAACCCCCCAAAATGCATATTTCCACATTATAGTAAATGTGTGTTAATATTTAGTCTTCACGGTAATATGAGAAAAGATATTTACAAGAAATGCCTGTGTTCTTGCTTCCCCTGCCCAGTAGCAGCGTGTCCTTCTCATCCGGGCTACTGAAGGAAGAGAAAATGGCAATACTATCTCCTGAGATCAAATTTGAGGCTTCCAAAGTCAGTAGACATTCCTTGGACAACTGTTTTCTGTTTGAGAGTAGTTGGAGAAAAGCAGTTTTGGAAACCCAGAAGATGAGGAAAGGTAACTTCATTTCAGTTGTAATTCTCTTGGAGAAACAGAAGGGATGCCTGGGATTTACATCCGATTCTCCCTTAAGCAGTCAAGAGACATTATGGAACTCCTAGACATTTATATTGGGCTAGTATATTAAGTTTATGGAAGGGGAAGGGGAAGCAAGTTAAGATTAATATTCTGTGAGCAATGGAAACACATTTTATTTATTTACTTATGTTTTAAAATTGTTTTATTTATTACTTACATTTTTCAATTGTTTTGAGGCAGCCTCTCTATGCTGTCCTGGCCTGGGACTTGCCACGTAGTCTGAGCTCACCTTGAATCTTTGAAATCCTCTTGCTTCTGCATCTCAAGTTCTGGTGCTATAAGCATGCACTACAATGTTCAGCTATAGATTTCAAACAGTTACCTTTTTTCTGCTATTTTTCTTTCTAACAGGGTTTTACATACCTCAGGCTACTCCTGAACTTGTAGTCTAGGCTGGTCTTTTAATTCCTCATCTACCTGTGGCCACCTCCCAAGTGCTAGGGTTTCAGGCTTGCGCCACTGTCACCTTTAAGCTTTTAGCCTCTTAATCTACCTTTTCTGTTTAATGCCTTTGTTTTTATTTCTTTTTTTTTTTTTTTTTTTGGTTTTTCGAGACAGGGTTTCTCTGTGTAGCTTTGCGCCTTTCCTGGAACTCACTTGGTAGTCCAGGCTGGCCTCGAACTCACAGAGATCCACCTGGCTCTGCCTCCCGAGTGCTGGGATTAAAGGCGTGCGCCACCACCGCCCGGCGTTTTTATTTCTTTTTAAGATGTGTTTATTATTTGTGTTTTATGTATATGAGTGTTTGCCTGCATGTATGTCTGTGTAGCAGGTGGTAGCTGGTACCCGCGGAGGCCAGAAAAGGATGTAGGATCCATTGGAACTGCAGCTACAGACAGTTGTGAGCTGCCATGTGGGTGCTAGGAAAGGAACCCTCTTCCCTGGAAGAGCAGCCAGTGCTCTAAACCTCTGGGCCATCTCTCCAGCCCCTGTTTTGATTTCTTTTCTTTCTTTCTTTCTTTTTTCTTTTTTTTTTTTTTTTTTGATTTTCCAGACAGGGTTTCTTTGTGCAGCTTTGCGCCTTTCCTGGATCTAGCTCTGTAGACCAGGCTGGCCTCGAACTCACAAAGATCCGCCTGCCTCTGCCTCCCAAGTGCTGGGATTAAAGGCGTGCGCCACCACCGCCCGGCCGTGTTTTGATTTCTTAACTTGGGGATGAGGAAAGAACTCATCCAGTAAAACACTTGTTCAGGTCCCCAGAACACATGAACAGGTCCGTAGGAATGGCAGCCCTCCTGTAATCCAGCACACCAGAGAAGAGAGTGGTAATTACCAGAACAAACTAGTTTAACTTGACAGCTCTGGGTTCTTCTGGGTTCTGCCTTAGTACGTGAAGTGAAAAGGATTGATGAAGGAACCCAAGTAAATCTTGGACCTCCACACAGGCAAACACCCCCACACTCCCACCCACGTGAAAAAAAAAAGAAAGAAAAAGAAAAGAAAACAACTAAAGCCAAGTATAGTTGAGCATACTTGTGATTCCAGCTCTTGGGAGGCAGGGAAATTGTTGCAAGTTCAAAACCAGCCTGAGCTACATAGACCTTGTCTCGATTAAAATCCCGACCAACCAACCAACCAACCAACCAACCAAACCAACCAACCAACCAACCAACCAACCAACCAACCAACCCTAAAACCCAAACAAAACAATTAAAAAAACCTGTGGAGTCAGTGGGAGCAATCTGGACACTTTGTGTTGGTTTTTATGGATTTGGTATGAATTTCGTGGAGAGAAAATTCAATTCAAATCGATGCTAAGGGTAGGATTTCAGATCATATAATTTCTGCTTTGTGGTTATTTACACAAAAGCAGGACATATTGAAAGTGATTTTATCTAAATATTCTGTGGACTCTAATTAAATGAAACAGACGAGTCAGTGGAGCAGCTGGACACCTTTTCTTTTGCTGCTACTGCTCATATCTTTGTTTTTTTGGGGAAGGGCAGATAGGATTCTGGGGGCAGAACCTAGAGCCTCGCACACACTTGGCAAGCCCTGTTACTGAGCTGCTTTCCAATCCCTTTGTGCTTTTTATTTTCAGACCCAGTGTCACTAAATTGCCCAGGCTGGCCTTGAACTTACAATCCTCCTGCCTCAGCTTCCCCAGCACTGGGGATTGCAGGCATGAGGCAACATGCCTGATTCTCCTTGTTCCCATTCTTATCCACCCTCTAAGTCTCCTCCTCCCCGTGGTCAGTCTGGCTGCATTTGACAGTCATTCTCCTGGGAGAGCAAATGGCAGCAGCTTCCTGCTCTTTCCTCTGTGCCCGATTTCCTTTGCAATACTATGCATTTTAGTAAGTGGTAGAAGAAGTGTGCATTTAACCAAGAGAATTGTGATTTTTTTTTATCACAACGCCCCATAGCATTTGGTCTAGAAGAGCCCAAAGAATGTCTCAAAATGCCGTATTTGCCAGAATTGCCAAGTTGCCCAAAGAACTTAAATTCAACTACACTCGAGATTCATAAGCACCTGCTGCATGCTGAGACGGAGATCCCTCCAATCAGGTAGGTGACCTGAATCATCTGACTCCCTTGGTTGAGTATTTATTTGTAAGTAAAGATAACTCTGACATACTAATCAAAGAAGAGTTCTTCCCCCCCCCCCCCCCCCCCCCCCCCCGAGACAGAGTTTCTCTGTATCTTTGGCTGTCCTGGAACTAGTTCTGTAGACCAGGCTGGTCTCAAACTTACAGAGATCTGCCTGGCTCTGTGTCCCTGAGTGGTGGATTAAAGGCATGCGCCTTTCACTGTTTCACTCTTGGAGGATAAGGCAGGGACAAAGCCAGCCTCGAGAGGTGGGTCAGAGGTTAGGTGTGTGCACTGCTCTTCTGGGGACTAGAGTTTGACTTTTAGTACCTTCTTTAGGCGCTTTACATGGACAGCCTCATGTAATTCCATCTCCAGGGGATCAGACACACACGCAGTTAAGGTTGCTGAGAACCGAGATTAGCCACCACAGACTAGCTCTTGTTCATTTGCTCGTCTTATAGAAAAGAAACATTATCTGAGTTGTAACTTTTTTGAAGGAGGTATACAATATACAGATATATATCTGGGTGGGTTTTTTGGTTTGTTATAGGCACAAATCACCATACCTGGCACACAGTTTTGTATGACCTTGCTACTACAAAAAACTATAATCATTTACCCACAGACAGCATACAAGACTGGGATTTTAGATTTCTTTTTTTCAATTGTTTTTAAATGGGGTCTCACTGTGTAGCCCTGACTGGCTTGGAACTCACTCTGTAGACCAGGCTGGCCTTGAACTCACAGAGATCTGCCAGCCTTTACCTTCCAAGTTCTGGGATTAAAGGTGTGTGTCACCATGCCTGGTACTGTTTGGTTTTGAGCTGCTGGAGATTGAGGCCAGGGCTTTGTGAATGCTAGGCTAGCAATCTACCACTGAGCCACATTCCCGGCCTTAGCTTTGTTATTTTGTTTGAGACGTGGCCTCATGTAGCCCAGGCTGGCCTTCAACTCACAGTGGAGCAGAATATTCTGTGAACCCCTGATACTCTGTCAAGTTCTGGGACTAAAGGCATGTGGATCACACCTAACTCTATTTCTTTAAAAAATATTTTTATTTTATATGTGTGCATGTTTCCCCTGCATGTACGTCTGTGTACTACATGCATGACTGAAGAAGCCAGGAGATAAAGTCAGATTCCCTGGAATTAGAGTTACAGACAGTTGTAAGCTGCCATATTGGTGCTGGGAACCAAATCTAGGTCCTCTTACAAGAACAGCGAGTGCTCTTCACTGCTGGGCCAATCTCTCCAGCTCTCAGCTTTCTTTCTTAAGTTTACCAGATCAGATTGCTGTTAAGTACTCTCAAACTTAACTGTGGCAACATAAGTAGGTAACTAGAAGATACTATTGAGAAGTCAGCCAGTCTCCCTGGCTTATGCCTGTAATATTAGAACTCAGGCGAGTCAGGGGAGTCCCAAATTTTGCTCAGTCACTTAGTGAGTTCTCTCACAGATGAGACATGTGGGGAAACCTTATATCCAAATAAATAAATAAATTGAAAAAATACTGGAAGATATCTATCTAGATGATGGGGAAATTTTTCAAGTTTACAGAAAATTTGGAGAAAAAAAGAAACACAAAAAAGAAACACAATTTAGGGTGTTTTTTCTGTTTTTCTTTCTTTCTTTTCTTTTCTTTCTTTCTTTTTTTTTTTTTCTGAAACAGGGTTTCTCTGTGTAGCTTTGCGCTTTTTCCTGGAAACTCACTTGGTAGCCCAGGCTGGCCTCGAACTCACAGAGATTTGCCTGGCTCTGCCTCCCAAGTGCTGGGATTAAAGGCGTGTGCCACCACTGCCCCAGCCTAGGGTATTTTTCTATACTTCATTTTCATGGATTTTATTTTAGTTGTGATTTTAGTGTCTCTGTACTTTTCATTCTGCCCCTTTCCCCAAAGACTGTTTGTAGGAACACACACTCACGCGCACATGAGTTCAGGTGCCCAAAGAGGCCAGAAGTGTTGGCAACCCACAGATTGATGTAAGTTTGGGGAGGAACACTCTTTGCTCTTAGCTATCCAGCCCCTTATTATGCTTTTTAAGAGTTATTATTGGCCAGGACATCATGGTACAAGACTTTAATCACATCACCAAAGTAGGCAAGTGTCTGTGAGTTCAAGTCCAGCCTGGTCTACAAAGTGAATTCCAGGCCAACAAGGGTTTCATACTGAGACCCTGTCTCAACAAAACAAAACACAAGAAATCACAACAAAAAAATATCCAAACCCAGCGATTCCCCCCACCCCCCCAACTGCTGAGCTTGATACTTACCATGTCATATAATCTTCACTTTACATAGACTTGCTAGCCACACTATTGTCCATACATTGCTCTGTGGTTTACCCAACCATTTCCTACTTTAGACTTGTAAGTTCCTGTGACATCTTTGATTTGGTAAATAATGTCACAAGGAAACATATAGCGTTTGTCAGCACTTTCAATATTTTTCTGAAACAGATTTTCTAGAATCAAAATGTAAAAGGCGGGGCTGGGGATCTAGTACAGTTGGTAGAGTATTTGCCTACCAAGCCTGAAGTCCTGAGTTGATACCCAGCACTGCATAAACTTTGGTAGAGCATCCTGCCATCCCAGTACTCAGGAGGTAGAGGCAGGGGCATTCAGAAGTTCAAAGTCATCCTCAGTTATACAGTTACATGAACTACATGAGACAATAATCTCAAAAAGAGAAGGCAGAAATAGAGATAGTGAAAGAGAATCTTTACCTTCTTTCCTACTTCAGCTGATGTTGGTTATCGTTTGTGATCAGGCTGTTCAGGAAATCACTTCTGACATTTTCCATTGACAGCTGTGAATCTGATTCTTGGTGAAGAATAATCTGAGTACATTTCGTCACAGTCTGGCTAGTGTTCTTCATAATATAAAGAGGAGTGGTGGGGACTAAGTGACATGGTGTCTGTGAACTCTAGGCAAATGGTAAATGTTCGCTGTTTTCCTTGCCTTTCATTGAAATGCCTTGAGTTCAGCCACTCCAGTGAGGATGCACCAAGTTGCCTTGTATGTGTTATTCCTCTCTGCATGTTGTCATATCGTTCTGTGAAAGAACAATCTTGGCAAATACTTGGGAAATACTCCATTTATTTTGTTTTGTGCAGTTTCTTACCTTCTTTTTGGCCCCCCAATGTGTGAATATTTGACTCCAAAACTCTGGTAAATGTCTAATCTTTTCTCAAATGTTCTTAATGAGGAACAGAAATTTTCAGTGATTCTCACAAACACACCAAGGAATGTAACTGACAATAGCATCATAGGAGGTGAAAGATTAAAGTTTACCATAGTTATATGAAATGTGGAATCTTTACAATTCTTTACCCATTTCCCCTAGTAATTTGTTATGCCAGTCTATTCCTTTAGGTGCAGAATTATAGCAAAAGTTCAGATCATGGTAACTGATGAGAAAAAGTGCAAAAATATGGGATCCGGGCATCTGCATCTAACACATCCAGACACATTAGTGTAGCTGCTGTCCTGACTACTTACAGTTATCACAGACGCCTGTGAAGAATTACACTCAGTGCCTAGCTACTGGCGAAATGTATCAGGAAATCTACCGTTGGGTTGGTTCATTCCCACTGTTGGGGTTAACGATGGTGGAGTTGTTTCTCTCCCTGTGCCACTGATTTTTGTCCCCATGTGATATCATTTGACAAGGTGAGTTTTAGTGGGACACATCGTGGGCTTACCAGATGCAGGAGTATGGGACTTGTCCCCGCACAGAAACAAACTGAGCCACACAAAACGTAAGAAGCCAGTCAGTGTGACTGAGGCTATGCTATTTGCCTCTTGTGTCTTTCAAAGTCAACAGCCTGTGGGTCACTATATGCCATTTTTATGACCATCCGTAATCTTTAGGATTAAGAAGACCAAGGAGCCCGTGCACCGTGCCAGCCCTTCAGGAGAAGTCAAAAGGTACTCCATTGTTCCATTGCCTGCTCCCCCACACCTCTGCTTTTTTGAACAGGGTTTTCCTGCATAGCCCAAGGCTGGCCTCAAGCTCACAGTTATCCTCCTGCCCCAGTCCCCCGAGTACTGCCATTACAAAGCACCCGGTTGCATGCCTCGCTTGCTAATGCTTCTGTTAAGCTTTGCTTAGTCTGTAAATTTAGGGGGGTTTGAGGTTCATTACACACGCTCTGTCGTCTCAGGACCCAGACCAGCCTCGAAACATAGCTCACCTGGGCCACTTAGTAGCCTTCAAGCTGGCTACCTTATTTTAAATTTTTGAGTTTTAAAGTCATTCAACACTGCAACAAGAAGCATGCAGCCTTGACGCTTAATCACGCTACCCCCCCCCTATTTCAGAAACACCTGCTCCTTACCACAGACTAAAATGTGAATGTAGTACTGAACCCTTTACCACCTTCCCAGAAAGTTCCATGCTATCCTTATCTTTTTAAAAAAAACAACTATTGTTTTATGTATATGGTGCTTTGATTGCCTGTGTAGTAGTACTGTGAACCATGTGTGTAGTGCACTAAGCGTCCAGAAGAGGGCATTCGAGGATCCCCCTGGAACTGGAGTTATTGACAGTTGTGAGCTCCCATGTCCTGGGAATCAACCTGGGTCCTCTGGAAGAGCAGCCAGTGCTCTAAACTGCTGAGCCATCTCTCCAGGCCCCACTATCCTTATCTTCTATTCTTTTTTAAATTAATTTCTTCTGTGTACTGAACACATTTCACTACAGCAACTATCTGTATTGCAATTGTTTAGAGCCCCAAACTGACTCTTTATTTATTTTTTTTATTATGTATACAGTGTTTACAGTGTTCTGCCCGCATATATGCCTGCAGGCCAGAAGAGGGCACTAGATCTCATTACAGATGGTTGTGAGCCACCATTGTGGTTACTGGGAATTGAACTCAGGACCTCTGGAAGACCAGTCAGTACTCTTAACCTCTGAGCCATCTCTCTAGCGCCCCCCCCCCCCACCACACCGCCGCCAAAAAAAACCCCTGACTCTTAAATCAGTTTCTTTCCATAGCACTGCTGAGTATTTCTACCATATCTGGAGGGGAGTCTGTCCTTTGCTACTTTAGAATCAGACATTCCCAGTTTCTCACTTCTGATATACTTGATTAGAAATTTGTTTTTTGAGAGTAGACATCAAAACCTCTGCTGAGTCAGGTAACTTAATTACATCTACAAGATTGTAGGGAACTTTCTCGGAATTCAGGCGTCTGCATTTACTGGCCTCCTCCCTGTACTTGTTAGATTTTGGAGGTATAGTGTCTGAGGCAATGCGTATGGCACGTGACAGAATAGACACATCTGGCTGGTGTTTGAGCCCTGTAATAGGCTCTTAACATTTTCTTGAAGTAATTGGTAACCAAAATTAGTGATAAAGTTTCTTGAGCCATATACTCAAAAGTTTTCCATTCTTTAGTTGTGTCAGAAGTAGGCATTAGCCTTTCTGGAAAGTTCCAGGTGTTCCAGGTGTGCCTGCAAAGACTCGGTAGGGTTTCATGGGCATCAGTGGAAGGAACCTCACTCCCTCATCATATACAGTGCATGCTGAATTGAGTTGTGAGAGCTGACTTTCTCTCTCACAGGTTCTGTCTTCAGTGACCCTTTCACAGGAGCGCCCTCTCAGTTTCTACAGAGACTTTCCAGAATGGCCATATTGGAATATGACACTATTCGCCAGGAAACACACAAGAAGGCCAAGCGAGGCAAGAAGCGAGATCTCCGAGACTGCTGATGGGTCCCACGACACGCCATGCTTTCTCCCCGGGCCGTGGCTCACATTTGCCGTGTTTCTTTTTCTTTCTTTCATTCTCTTTTGATATGTGATATAATAATACAAATGGAAATGTAAATAGCAAATAAATATTTTATGTTATATATGGAATAATTTGTATTTTGTTGAACATGGCGTTTCATCTTTTATTTTACTTTTTTCTTGAAAATGGATATTTTATTATTAAAATGGAATGATTTTACTTTTTAAATAAAGATGGTACTAGGTATTGAACCCAAATCTCTGTGTGTGCTAGTTCAGTTTTCTGCCCACTGATCTAAATTCCATAAAAAACATTTGAATTATGCAAATATATGCATGATAGAAGTTATATTGTACAAGTTTTAAGCACATTTATATGTCTTTTGATCTAATTTGATAAATGCTTTTGAGACTTATCTTTCCAATGGACCTCACTAGTTGTCACAGAAGATTCAAGAAGAATCCAGGGATGGTGTCATGCATCTGAAACTCCATCATTCAGGAGGCTCAGGCCAAAGGATTTTTGAGTCTGGATTACAGAGTGAGGCTCTGTCTCAAAACAACCAAACAACCAAAGAAAACAGATTAAAGGGAAGTAAGTGTTGTTGGCGTTAGAAGGCACCAGTAGCTGGCAAGAATGCTCGCCGCTCTTCCAGAGGCCCAAGCCCGGCCTCACACCAGGCTGCTCCCAATCATCTGTAGCTCCATGTCCAGGGGATCTGACTCCCTCCAAAGGCAGGCACCTCCACAGCTGTGGCATACATCCACATAAAATAAAAACTTGTTTTTATTTAAAGAAAGGGTCAATGAAAGGGTTTTTTCCTGTGTGGAAACTATTCAACCAGATAAAGAGGAAAGTCTTGTCTTTGTTTGCTGATGAAGTCTGGGTGGGTAATCCTGCCTTTGTTTGGGAGACAACAATGGACCTCCCAGTGCTGAGCTTTAGAACGGAGCAGGTGAACACACGCAGGTAGTACCCACTACCCTCGGTCACCTGTCACCTCAGGACCTTTCCTACCAGGCGGAACAGAGTCTCTCCACAATGTAGATAGACAGATCTGGGAGGGGAAAGGAGGAGGAGGAAAAGCTTACTCCATCTTCATGGAGAAGAAAGTCTAACTCAAGAGAGAAACCCTTCTCCAGAAGCCTGAGGAATGGAGACACGTGCTCCCATGAAGCCAGCTTCAGTTTGAGCTTCTAATTATTTTTGGCCCACACATGAACTGACTTCAAGTTAGTTGCTAGTGTTTGCACACTGGAAGGTTTTACACGAAAATCTAGGACGCTGACAGCTGGCCCTGGAGAGTGCAGAACACTGAGTCTCCTAGGAGTTTAGAGACCAGGCAGTAGTCCTCAGTCAGAGAGGGCCTGTGGAAGACATAGTGTTGGAAATGAGCCTTCAATATGGGACCCATGGAAGACAGCCTGTTCTAGAAAGCCGAGAAAACATGAGCCAAGGCATACTGTCCACTTGGGGATGGCACACGTACTGCATACAGAGCAGGCATCATGAATTCACGTGCCTGCAGGCTCCAGGCCAGTTCCAAGTTGTGTGACCCCATCAAGCAGAGGCTGTAGTAAACCTACTTGAAAGGCCTGGATGCCTAGCTTCAGTCCTTTGTGCTATATGAGTCCAAAGTTGCCAGAAACCCCAGAGAAACGAGAAAGGAGAGTCTGAATTTTCAGGTACTCTTCTTGTCCTTAGGGTCCTGTTGCTGTGAAGAGACACCACGACCGCAGCAACTCTTAGGAAAGAAAGCATTTAACCAGGGCTGGCTTACAGTCAGAGCTTGGTCCATTACTGTCATGGTGGGAATAATGGTGGCACACAGGTGGGCATGGTGCTGGAGAGGTAGTTGACAGTTCTACATCCAAATCCACCAGCAGCAGGAAGAGGGAGCCACTATGCCTGGCTTGGGCTTCTGAAGCCCAAAGAGACACAAGCCATGCCCACCCCAAGTGACACACTGACTCCAACAAGGCCACACCTCCTAACCTTTCTCAGGGAACTCTGCTTCCCTGAAGATGGAACATTCAAATATTTGAGCCTATGGGAGCCAGTCCTATTCAAAACACCACACTTCCAACAAGTATCTAGAGAGTCTCGAGTTAGGAAGTGGGAGAACTGGGATTCTACCCACCTAGGGTCTAGTTCATATACATAAACTCTTAGGAATAATAATTTAAAAAAATCTTCAACTTATCATACCAAAAGACACATCACAATGGTTTGAGTATCCTCTTCCTGCCAGAGGCCAACAGGACCATCCTTTTATCACAGCAGATGTAGTGAACTATAGTAATAAATATAGCCAAATACTACAACTATGTGGTCGATCAATCAACCAACCTCAAATTTAGCTGATAGTATATATTATATTAAATATTATAAATATATAACATATATAGTCATGGTTTAATTGATTAAAATTTAGGGTATGACAAAAATAGCTGTCTCAAATCATGACAATATGATATCACGGATTCATGCCTGTGGAATGGGAAGCTGGGATGGCTTACATAGATACTATGTCCGCACCACCCTATCTCCCTAGGAAAGAATTCAACTTAAGCCAGTTCCAGAGTGGAATATTTTGGTAATTTTTAAAAAAGATTTGTTTTTATTTATTATAGGGACTGTAGGGGAGTTATGCCACATGTGAGCAGGAGTCTTTGGAGGACAGAAGAGGGCATTGGATCCTCTGGAGCTGGAGTTACATATAGTTGTTAGCCATCCGACATGGGTGCTTGGTACCAAACGCAGGTCCACTTGAAGAATAGCAAGCATGCTTATCCACTGAGCTCTCTCCAGCCTCTATTATTTCTTTTTAACAAATGAGATGGACTAATAGTAGTTGGTCACTTGTTTAGCCTTAGAATCCAATTTAGCTTATGATTTTTATTAAATATTTTCTTGCTGTTTGTTTTGAGACAAGGTCTCATGTAGCTCAGGCTGGCCTCAAACTTGAAATGAGGTTGGAGGATGACCTTGAATTCCTGATTTTTTCATCCTTTACCTCCCCAAGTGCAGGGGATAATGGCATGTACCATTAGCATATGAGGAAACAGGTTCATTAGGCTGAAAAAAAATTACAGACTCTACTACTTTAGATCACATTTACTTTTTTCTTGTTTGTTTTTCATTTTGTTTTGTTTTTCGAGACAGGGTTTCTCTGTGTAGCGTTGGAGCCTGTCCTGGAACTCACTCTGTAGCCCAGGCTGGCCTCGAACTCACAGAGATCTGTCTGCCTCTGCCTCCTGAGTGCTGGGATTAAAGGCGTGTGCACCACCATCGCCCGGCCACATTTACCTTTTGTACTTGATAAAACTTTGAGGAAAACTAGTATGTATTTAGAACACAGAAAGCACAAGGCACATCCAAGTTGGACAAACCAAGGACTTAGAGAAGGATCAGAACCAAATTGAAAAAAAAAAAAAAAAGATTTAGTTTTAATGCATATGGATGTTTTGCCTCCATGTATAGCTGGGCACCATCTGTGTGTAATGCCCTAGGAGGCCAGAAGAGGGCCTTGGAGCCTCTGGACCTGAAGTCCCAGATGGTTGTGATCCCCGATGTGAGTGCTGGGAACAGAACTCCTGGTCCTCTGCAAGAGCAACAAATTCTCTTAACTGCTGAGCCATCTCTCCAGCTCCTAGAGACTCACTTCTAATACTGCAGGCACCATGAACGTTAAGTGTTTTGTCCTTGTGATTTGGAAACTCCCTCCAGAGTAAGCGGCACCATTTCCAACCTTGAGGACCTGAACCTTATGATAATGTTTAGGATGGAAAGTGGAGTTGAGAAAACAGTTCATTTAAGGGTTTAAGTATGGTGTGTGTGTATATTATGCTTATGTGAGGTCAGTGCCCAAGGACACCGGAAGAGAGTGATGGATCCCTGGAGCTGGCGTTGCAGGCACCTGACCTGGGTGCTGGGAAGCAAACTCTGGTCCTCCGGCAGAGCAGTACGTGCTTTTAACCTTTTCATTATCTCTCCAGCCCAAGAACAAAGTTCTTTACACTCCATTGGAGGAAAAATTTCTAGTCAACGAAGATTCCAAATTATTTTTCTAAGAAGACTCAGTTTCTTTTCTTTATTCCTTTTAAAATCCAGCAGATTCCTCATATGTAATTTTGATTTCCCAGTAAACATATTCACTAAAAAACAATGCTTTCTCCAGATGAAATATCTTGGATTTAGAGTGGTTATGTTAATTGAATTTATTTCCTTCCCTCCTTCCCTCCCTGCCTTCTCTCTCTCTCTCTCTCTCTCTCTGATACAGGGTCTTACTGTGTAGCCCTAGCTGGCCTGAAACTCACTATATAGACCATGATGGATTTGAACTTACAGAGATCTACCTGCCTTTGCCCCCAAATACTGGGATTACAGGTGTGTGCACCACCCCCACCCAGCTAAGTCTTCATTTCTTTCTTTTTTTTTTTTTTTTTTGGTTTTTTCGAGACAGGGTTTCTCTGTGTAGCTTTGCGCCTTTCCTGGATCTCACTCTGTAGCCCAGGTTGGCCTTGAACTCACAGAGATCCACCTGGCTCTGCCTCCCAAGTGCTGGGATTAAAGGCGTGTGCCACCACCGCCCGGTTTAAGACTTCATTTCTAAAAGATCCTTCTGTGAGGACTTTCAAACTGACACATGGGTCCAAATCTCCCAGAGAACTTCTTACACTCCAGATTCCTGTGGCAGTGGGATTGAGTGTCTCTGATGCAAAAAGGCTACCCCAGGTGATGCTAAGGATGCTGATTATGGACCATTTCAATAGCCCTGCCTTAGCATGTCCTACACTCAGGGTATTGGATGGACCACCTTTTCTGTAAGTGGCCTGTGTCAGCATCTCCTACACTCAGGGTCACTGGGTGAACTTTGGAGAGCTACGCTCATTCGGGCACCATCCCGGAGTGTGAGCCAATTGGTTTGGGGTGCCCCCTTGGACATGGGTAATTTTGAAAAACTGTCCCTGCCCTTGTGATCGCCCATACACATTCTGAAGAGAACTCCTTTGCCTCTCCATTTTCTCTCTAGCAGTTGAAGCCCTAAATCATCACATTCTCCCCTCTTCCACTTATTATTTATTATATTTATGTGTATATGTGTGTGCTGGCATGAGTGTGTGTGCACCGTGTGTGTGTGTGTGTGTGTGTGTGTGTGTGTGTGTGTGTGTGTGTGTGTGTGTAGCTAGGTAAGAGAAATACTCTTCTTAGGTTGAGAAATTATGGAAAATATTTAGAGACCGAAATA